TTGGGGAGAATATTTGTGTGTGAATTCATTTAATAAGTTATTTTTTAAATTATATACTTTTTTCTTTTTAATACGTTGATTTTCATTTTCTTTTTTTTTTCTTTTTTTTCCAAGCATTTTAAATATCGTACTATTCCGTGAAAAACCACTCTGCAAATAAAGTATCCAGCATCCCGAGGTTACTGCACTCACTATCGATCACCGAGAAAATCGGTCAACGTTACCTCTCGTTTCTACTCGAGATATTTTTAGCAGATTCTCGAAACCTCATTTCCATTATTAATCGTGATTTATTGTTTTCCTTTCTTTCTTTCTTACTTACTTACTTACTTACTTACTTACTTATTTTGCACGGTACATGAAATACATCAAAATCGATTATGTTTATTATCGATCGGTAAAGAAGAAAAAACATTTTCAAGCATTTATCTTTATTTATCTTTTTTTTGTTTTTTTTTTTTTTTCGAGACAATATTAAAACACATTCAAAGATTTGTTTAAAAGAAAAAAAAAAAACAGAACGATAGAATTTATATTGCTTACTTACGATTACTTTTTTCTTTCGTTCTTCTGTTGACCTGGAAAAAGTTCTTTTCTTTTTTTTTTCTTTCTTTATATTCTACGAGTAAAAATACCAATGAGATTTTTAACGGTGTGTAAGATCATCATATATTATTCTTCTTAACGTTACAGAATATTTCTTTATCCTTATTACGAGAATAATCATTATAATAATGATATTAATAATAATAATAATAGAAGTGTGCGAGAACTCGAAAATTTAGAGAATTTTTTTTTAGCATCGAATAAATATCGACATTTTTTAAAATTTCGAAAATTCTAATCAGTAATATTCAATACGATTAATATACCATTTTTGATAATAATTTAAATTAATTCTGTAAATTATTTGTCTTTCTTTTCATACATTTCATAATTTTATTATTTTACGTGGATGTATTGAAAAATATTGAGCCTAAAATAAATAATTTTGTTCAGTCAAACTTATACTTTTATTATTAATAAAACAATAAAGAAAAGTTTTTGAGACTAAAAACTTATCTCGTATACCGTGGAAATAAAAATAGACTTAGAAATAAAAATCCGAAACCATAATCGCATTGAATACAATTCCTAAGTCCAATTGGAAGTTTGAAAAAATTCGAAAAATTTCATTAAATTTTCGATCGTTCTCACATACTTCAGAATAAATTTGCACTTATTATTATTGTTTTTTGTCGTCATAATTATTATTATTATAAAAGGGTAATGCATTATGATCGTAAATTGTTTGCGTTTTTCTTTTTCGTAGAATTTCCCACGGCATTTGCGTGCCCGGATAATCTGATCGACGATAAAGCTTAGCAAGAACAATTGGAAATACTGAAATCTATAAATAAAAGCTTCTTCTATATGACAAAACGTATAATATTATTATGTAACAGTAGTAACATTCATTGTAGGCACTATCGTAATCGTTTTCAAATTTCTTCTTAAACTATTTTGCATTTGATTAGAATAAATTCGGCCCTGATTTAATATTCGATCTGACGTTTCTTCGTTTAATTTCTTTTTATTTTCTTTTTTCTTTTTTTTTTTTTTTTTTTTTTTTAATATTTCGTTGGAAAGAAACTCAGTAATGTTCGTTCGTTTTTTTGGAACGATCGTTCGTATTTTCCGACANTTTTTTTTTTTTTTTTTTTTTTTTTTTTTTTTTTTAATATTTCGTTGGAAAGAAACTCAGTAATGTTCGTTCGTTTTTTTGGAACGATCGTTCGTATTTTCCGACAATTATCCGAACGATAAACGAACCTAATTCCAAACTCGTAGATGTGATTTATTTACGTGAATATTTTTAATTAGGTTAATATGCGTTTATGAAAATCGAGATTGAACGTGCCGTTTGATTTTAATTATTATAATTGCGAGGATATACATTTGTGTAATAATAAATAAAAGCATTGATCGTTGATGTTACATCATTTTCATTGATTTTGTGCTGTTTTTTTTTCCTTTTCTATTTATTTTTTCATTAATTTCTGGTCTCTCGAGAATCGGCCAAGAAATTTGAATTTTGTTTATAGAAAATTTTGGACATTTTCAATTGGATAATTAAGAGGCAACAATAATTTCATCCTGAACAATATTCACAGCCTCCGATTCTAAGTTAACTCATTTCTATTCACAATTTGAATAATCTGTGCATGATGACTGTCATGTAAAAATATTCCTAACTGTGCAATAACCAGCAAATATTTCGTTTATTTATTGTTGGTCAAATATTACTTGTTGTTGGCGATATTTGAGATTGGTATTTTTAATTTAAATTTACATTTAAAAACAATTTTTAATTTTGTAATTTAAAATAAACGTGTCTTCGATTTATGAAATTAATTACGTATTTTAATAAATACGATGCAAATGGATTAAAAATCGCAAACTATTTTTCTCTCGTGTTTATGCGTACACGTGGAATTTTTTTTACACGATGAATGTGCGCTGTGTAAAAAAAAAAATCGTATAAATAAAATGTAAAAACAATTAATTAGTAACAAGGTATAAAGCTTGTATTAAATGAAAACAAACAGTAAAAGAAGCAATTTCAAATATAGAACTGCATTAAATAAAATTTCATTCAATGAACATATAATAATAAAAGTCAGAATATTCGTGTAAAAAGAATCTCAGATGTTTGTTTTAATATATTTTTTTAAATTTGTTTTTTCCACTTGAATTACCATAATGAAGAACGTTGTTTCCATCAACGTTAAATCATAATTATTTTTTGCACCGTAATAAAAAAGGACAAATTTAACGAATGTAAACACAACAAGGTTCTTAATCACGTATGAAGCAACTTTTATTTAAACGTAAACTAATTTCGAGATTTTGAATAAAGTCAAGTATCGTTAAACAAGATTAATCAAAAGTTTATGCATAAAACGAAATTTCTTTCCGAGAATAACCAAATAAATAAATAAATAAATAAATATTAATGTGTGTATTTCGAGAAAGATAGATAAAAGGGAGACCCAAAAGTCACTGAATAATTACACGAGAGGTTGATATTTAATCTACAAAATTAATTAAAAATAATTTCCAACGAGTATATTTTTTTTTTTTTTTATAAAAGAATAAATATGAATTTTTAATACACGAAAGAGTGATTCTCTATTTTTAAATGTTCCAGAGACGTTCGGACAACCCTGTAGAAAAAAAGAAGAAAAAAAAAAGGATAAGTAGTTTTGTTTGATGAATAATTTAATTGATCAGTTGTCGTCGTTGACGCATACGAAATAATCAAATGTGTGTGTGTGTGTATGTGTGTGCGTGAGAGAGTTTAGATTATTATTCTTAAGATACAACAAAAGGAAAATAAAACAAATGTAGATGAAGACTAGAAGCAATCCTCGATATAGATTATAAATACATCTATACATATACATATATATATAGAAAAAGAAAAAATAAAAGAAATAGTGTTTCGTTTGATTAATATTTTAATTAATCGGTTGTGTCCTCGTTGACGTAACGAAATAATACAACGAGTTAAACGATCATTTAAAAGAAAAGAACCAAATAGATATGAAGACTAGAAACATCCTCGATATAATAATATATCAATAAACATATGTATTATATGTATATATATATATTATTATTATTTATATATATATATATATATATATAAAGAGAAAAAGAGAGAGTTTCGTTAAACTTACGTCGAACTTTCAACGTTCCTCACGATCGAGCACGTAAAAGCCGTATTTTTTTTTTATATAATATAATATATATATATTTATATATATTTAATATATATCTTTTTTTTGTATAATTATAAATATTATCATTATTATACTTCATATATATACCAGCCATAATTAGGCTAGATTCGTTTAATAATTCATATTTCTCGCGATACATAATAATATAATAATAATAATAATAATAATAAAAAACAAAAATTAATGATAATAACAATAATAATAATAATAATAATGTGCGCGTACGAAACATACCGCTTATTATAATATTTTTTGTCAATTCATTTTCAATGGCATACATGCAACTCTGATTTCGTGTGCGTGTCTCTCTCTCGCTCTTCTTATTATACATGTGTGTGTATATATATATATATATATATGTGTGTCTGTATATGTATATTTGCGGGCATTTAAGTATATAAGTACATAAGTACGCATATATAGAAATATTTGTGCTACCCGTGCTCGAGTTTTATTCCTAAAGATTACTATAAGGCTAACGAGCGTGTGTCTTTGGCTTGATTCAAGATGTATAAAAAATTCGACTGTTTCTATTTGTAACAATAATTTCTACCTTTCTCTCTCTCTGATTCTCTCTCTCTCTCTCCCATCTTCCAAATGGATTATTTTATCTCCTTAATAAATTATTAAATGAATTCTAAACACACGATTCTTCATTTCTTTCTTTCTATCTAATTCGGGACTTCTCAAATTATGTATATTGTAAATCTGACGACTCTTTACGGGGTCGAAAAAATTTCAACAAAAAAACTAAAAAATATCTCGACGCGAAAATGAATTTAAAATCAATTAGACAATCCTAAGGGTGTAGTATCCTCGTGAGTTTATGATAGTTAAATAAAAGATAGTATGAAAACTATACACAGAATCGTGAAAATGTTTGTTCGATAGAAATAGAAAAGTTTTGAGAAGTCCTGATTATAATCATATACTCTCGTGTATATATTATTATATTTATATATTTATATATCCACATACACGTATACACGTATTATACGTATACGTTTATAAGTGCATTATTATTTTCTTTTTTTTTTTTCATTTTTTCTTCGTCCATCGTGTAATCGTATCGAAAACGTTTCATTCGTAAAAATGTATATGTCAATAATTGTATGAGCATATATATATATATATATATATATATATATGTGCCGATAATTATGATAATAATAATTTAAGTTAAAAAATTATACTCATTTATCTTACAATTTGTGTTTTATAATATTAATCCACATTTAATATAAAATAAATCGTAAAATTTATTTTTACAATTTTGTTCACTTGTTAGTCTATTGCCATAATTACCGGCACTATTATGATGATACGAGATGACATGTGTTTTTTTTTTTTATATTATTATTAAAATTAAATGAATAATATTTTAATAAAAATAAGAGGGAAAAAAGAAAAACAATGAAATAAAAAGAATTTTTCGTTCTTCTCTAGAATAATCCGTACGTGTAAATCGCATGTCAGTGCTTTTAAGAGAACATGATTCATATTTAACGATTAGAACATAAGTCATTGGAAGAAGTTGAGCGGTAGGACAATTTTCTTCTTAACTCGGTTACTCTCTCTCTTTTTGATTACATTATTTTGATTCTTTTTTAAACGAAATTTTACATTTCCTGTCATTTTGTAATCGTCGTTATTTTTCTCTTGCTTAAAAATTCGAGAGAAATTTTGTTCAAAAGTGAAGTTTTAAGAGCGAAGCAGTTTTTTTTTTTTTCGAAATTGCAAGGGAAAATGATTTTGTTTAATTAAATATCTACTTTATCGACAGAGAGCTGAATTAATCAACTGTTCGAAGTAAGTATCGTGTAAAACTCAATTAACAAGTTTCTTTTTTTTCGAGAATTTTTGTTTAATTTTATTCGCACGTTTATCAGCTCCGTTACGTTTCTTTACTTCTTCTTCTGCTTCTTCTTTTTGTCTTCTCATCCTACCATTTTGTATTTTATTGTTAATAAAAAGACCACTAATGTAGAAGTAGTAGTAGAGGTCCCAGATCAGCATAAACGCATCGATGATTTTCTTTCCAGTTGTGGAATCCTTATATACGTCCTGAACAAAGTAAACAAATTTTATTTTTTCTTTATAAATAAAAAGTGTCAAAATAAAAAAGGGAAATCAAGCGAAATATTTCAACAATTTATACTTTACAAATTGTACATGCAAATGATTATTTCAACCCATCGCAGGAAGAAAATGTTTCAGTTTCTGACGTACGTGGCACGAAGTATATAGAATTCTAAAATTTATAATAAATAATATAAAAAGTAATTTCCAAGATACTAGCGTGGGAGAAGAAATATACTATAAATGTAATTGTATTTTGATATCAACACATCAATGAATGTTCACATATTATAAAAGGGTAAAAGCGTATTTTTCCATCACATGCATGATGAATAAAGTTGAAAACACACATACGTAGAGAAAGATGTTCAATCTCTTTTTTTACTATCGCTTACCTATCTTATTATTCGCTCAGTACCGGCAGTAGGGACCTTATACGAGAAAGGTCAAAAGAAAGCAGAGTATTAAGAAATATTCATTGAATTTTATTAATCATTTATAGAAATTGTTAATGCACGTATACTACCCATATAAATATTATTTCCAATAAAATAAAAACGAACAGAAAGGAAATATGTATATTTGTTAATAAAAAATATATATATATATATAAAAAAAAAACAGAAAAAAAAATGAAGAAAAATAATGAAAAAGAAATATTCTCGTACTTACAATTCGATGCTTTGTATAGTTGACGTAGGACACGTCGTGTCTACTTTAACATGACAGTGTTTATGACACTTCATTTGACAGTCCCTACACTCGTATCCTTGTTTGCCTAATCTTCGAGCTAGCGTTCGTTTACACACTTCGCACACCGTACCTCTACAAATATAAAATATTATCATGATACAAACAAATAATTGTATTTTATCTTAGAATAGATTGAATCTTTAAAAACTTACCCTGACATGTGTTTTGCGATGAACGTGTGATCGTTGAATATATGTAATTTCGTGCCCTTTTTCCTCCATTTGCTTTTTTGTGCGAGTGATAATGGAACCAAATAATGTCTGCAAATGAAACATTAATAGTGTTGATGTCATTTATCAAATGAAACGTTTTATGTGTTCATTGTAATAGAATTTTATTTATTAGATTCGTATTATTCTAAATGTTTTGATCTCTCAATATATTTGAAATAAATTATTATGTAATATAAATATCGTCGATATTATTTATACCAAACAAAATATTCAAATATATGTTAACTGATCATTTATTTAATCAAATTACGATCAAATAAATAGAAATAAAATTACTCACTTCTTGATACCATTTTCCATGGTTTCTAAAACAAGCGTAGAGGCCTCGTTAACATAAGTTCTCGTAGAAGTTCCGCTAATACCGGATGCTTCGCTCAAACTAGATCTCCTCGAGTGTTCTTCTCTTCCTGGTATCGACAAATGTGCTGTAAAAATGAATTTTCACACTTGGACATGGGTGGAATGGAAACTACGATGGGGGGGGGGGTTTGGTATGGTAATTCAACAAATAAATTTTTTTACGGGTATCGTCTATTTCACAGTTATGGTCTAATTGAAAGTTCAGGCTACTACAAATGACTATAATTACAGAATACAATGCATACAAATATGAAGTTTCTTCCGGTGTTCAATAATGTAGGAGAAACTTACCAACATCGAGTGCCATTAACGCAACGGTTACGCAAGCAAGGGGCAGAGCGTGAAATTGTGAATTAATATAGAAAAAAAAAATGGAAATTCACTATAATTGGGAATAGTTTTTTAAAAAAATGGTCATTGTTGAAAAGACAATTAAACATTGATATCAATCAACACAAATTCAAGCAATGAATTTCAAATGAAACAGAAGTGTAAGTAATAGTGTCTACACATTTCAATTTAGTTTACATGAAAGTTAAGAAATACATATTTTCTAATCTAATCTAATTCATTTCAAAGTAATAATATGATAAATAAAACATACCTGATCCAGGATCTCGTGCTCTGTCCGCAGATATGGACCTCGAATGTGCATCCTCGTGATTGATGTCTCCTTCTGGACCAACCGATCTACTCCTTGTTTTTGATCGACTCAAACGCTTTTTTATAGTACCGAAAAAGTCTCTTCGTTTTCTTCTCGTTCTTCCTCTTTCTGTAAGGTTTTGAACAAAATTTATAACAAATTTTTTCACACAGGATGTTTTTTGTTCTTTTTTTTACAAATTTTTATCTATAAAATAAAAAATACACCCAATTTTGTTTTTACACGAAATTTTTTGTTTTTTTAGACGATTTTGAATTAACACGATCTATTCATATTTTAAGAAGATAATTTTTACTTCACCAGGCAATTTATCTGATTGTGAGTTAAACAAAAAGTATTTTTCGATAGACATGGTAATATATTTTATATTAATATAATAATATTTATTTTATTATATATTTTTCATACGTATCTTTCAGGAACGTATCTATCGTGTATAAAAACAGAATTAGATGTACAATAATTCCAGTTTACGAGGATCTTAAGAATGCAGTACTATTACTAAAAAATATTGAGAACCACATTACATTAAATATTCAAAATGATATTTTTATTTGTGATTTACCTTCTGAATTAGAGGAATTTGGCGTACTTTCTGGTCCTGATGTCACACTGGTGTCCTTTCCTCCGTGCTGAAATAAATCGTACGATATTAGACAATGAAGCATATTAACTTCATTTAATTAAAGTGCTATTTTATTATTTAAGAAAGAGAAAGAGAGAGAAAAAAACGGGCTAAATAAGAAAGAGGGAGAAAGAGAGAAAGAGAGTATAGCAAATCAATAGTACACTTACCTCAGGGGAAATTTCTTGCCAATTTCCGTTTTCCGTCATAGCTACCTGTTGGATTAGTAAACACACGGCACATTCAAGGATAGTTAATGCTATAATGAAACTAAAAAAAAAAGCATTCAAATTCAAGGTAAACCTCGCGTAATTAAAAATTAAAAATAAAACGAAGGATGGTCTTGAATAAATTGAATAGAAAAGAAAAAATAATAAACATTATTATTTTATATGCCTCGCGTGATCGCATTAGATCGGAAAAGTGATTAGAAAATGTTTACGCAAATTGCTATTACGTAATCGAATAAGAAAAAAAAAAAATAAGAAAAGAAATTCGCACTGGTGGCGTGTCGTGGTATCTCACCTTTACTACTTGTCGCTCTGCTTGCTGTAAAAGATAATTAGAGCAAAGGATCGTTTAATTTCTCAGATGACTATTATTATTATTACTATTATTACTATTAGGACATCTATGTGTATGTATTTGTCGTGAACCGATAATTACGACAGTTTACTTAGCCAACAAATATTTTTAATTATATTCACATGATTTTATTTTATTATATTGTAT